GCGATTCCCGTTTACGCAACTTCTACTGCCATTATGTGTGTCCTTTGTTTATCTTCTCGTATGCCCATTTAACAATTCACATTCGAATACAAACATCTATTGATGCTAGTTGAGTAGCAAAAGAAATATATACACTATGTAAATTTGGATTCGTCGGAACCGCGCTGTATATTGGAACCAACCTCACCGTAATACTATCATTCTTGACCTGTTTCACCGCGCGATCCGTGCGCTGGACAAGGCTTTGAATTTTCATTGGTGGGTGTTTTTTTTTTCTTGACCTGTTCCACCACGACAAGCGCGCTGGAACAGGCTTTGAAACCCATTGGAGATGTGGGTGTATTTCTCTTTTGTTTTTTTTTTTCCATTTCGGTTTGGGTTTGGATACCTTTCACACAACCTACAGTAAAATCGAAGAGATTTTACACTAGTAGGAGTGGTCAGAATACACCCTTTATGGTTCGATATGTTCCTACTTTTGTTTCTACTGCCCACAATGTTACAAAACATTGTGTGGGTGGGGTTGGGTAGCTACCCGTCCCATCCATCCCGCTGCTGCCTCAGCCCAAACCGTCTTCGGGTCTACTCGAACCTTCTTCCCTCATACCTACTATGCAGCTAGAATTACAGTCACAGCCACCTAATCCGCTGCTGTGTCATTCGCTAAGGTCCTAGTCGCGTGTTTGTTCGTGCGCCTCGCGGTCGTTAGATAGTCGTCGTCCTGCTCGCCTCGCGCTGCACCCTGCGCAGCGCTTTCGTTTAGCCGTCCCGCGCTTTTTCTCATTAGCGAATATCGCGTTTGATGTCCGTTTAGTTTGCAGCATGATGCGATGTCATGTCACACGGGTCGCTGCGCGGAGCGAACGCACGTGCGCGCGAGGTGGCTCGGTCGGACCTCACCGTCGAACGGTCGCGAAATTGTCGAGCAACGCACGTTTTTACGTTTCTAAGTCCCTCAAACAGGTCGAGAGACGACTGCAGAGACGAGTGCATAGACTGCGTTTCTTCTCTCACCACGGCCGCTCCTTCCTTGCCTCTCTCATTGTCATCGACCTCGTCCTAGTAGTCCTCGCCACCACCGATTACGCCCTGCTCGCTTCTATCGAACAGCAGCGCTGATCTCTCTTTCAAACTATCAGCACCTACTCGCTGTGTTAGAATGAAATCGATCTCCCACAGAATAGTTGGAATCAGAGGTGTTTCTTTCTCTGCTGCCAGACTGCGTTTCTTCTCACCTTGTTCGTTCCACCCTTGCTCGTTCCGCACTTGCTCGTTCCACCCTTGCTCGTTCCGCCCTTGCTCGTTCCCCACTTGCTCGTTCCACCCTTGCTCGTTCCGCACTTGCTCGTTCCACACTTGCTCGTTCCGCCCTTGCTCGTTCCCCACTTGCTCGTTCCGCCCTTGCTCGTTCCGCACTTGCTCGTTCCGCCCTTGCTCGTTCCGCACTTGCTCGTTCCACTTCCGTCATTCTGCCCTTGTTCGTTCCTCCGCCCTTTCTCCTCGTTCCGCCCTCCCCCTCGTTGCGCCCTTCCTCCTTGTTGCGCCCTTCCTCCTCGTTGCGCCCTTCCTCCTCGTTGCGCCCTTCCTCCTCGTTCCGCCCTCCTCCTCGTTCCGCCCTCCGCCAGCCCCTATGCTAAAACCTCTCCTTCCCTCCGTTCACCTCCTCTCCTCGGAAAGGTTGGGGCAGACTCGGCGCGCCCTGGGCAGATTTTTGAGGCACCTCATAAAGGGTTGGGGCAGACTTGGAGCGCTCTGGGCAGACCTGTTGAGGCCAGTGAGGTGAGGCCCCTCGCGCTCGCTCCTATTGCTCCTCACTCACTCACGTGCTCTGCTCCCCTCCACTCACCTGTGCTGCACCCTAAACCTCTGCCATGGTTTCTAAACCATCCGCCATGCTGTCACACCTGCCATCCCTCCCCACCCCGCCTTGTGCAGAAAGGTCTTCTCTCCTTTCTGCGGGGCACCGTGAAGAGACCTTCTCACCCCGCCAAGACACGAGACATACTTACAAGTAGGATATTTATTAGGACATGCACCTTGCTCTTGTTTGTATGGTACTTGTGCGTGTGTCGATATAAGAGTTGCGGGGTGGGTTTGGGCTAGGCACGGGGTAGGTTTGGGCTAGCCTTGGCCCCTACAAGCCTGGTTACTGTTCCCGCTGCCCGGTTACAGTTCATGCCGCCCGTCACTGTTCATGCCGCCCGTCACTGTTCATGCCGCCCGTCACTGTTGATGCCGCCCGTCACTGGTCGTGCCGCCCGTCACTGGTCGTACCGCCCGTCACTGGTCGTGCCGCCCGTCACTGGTCGTGCCGCCCGTCACTGGTCGTGCCGCCCGTCACTGGTCGTGCCGCCCGTCACTGGTCGTGCCGCCCGTCACTGGTCGTGCCGCCCGTCACTGTTCGTGCCGCCCGTCACTGCTCGTGCCGCCCGTCACTGCTCGTGCCGCCCGTCTCTGCTCGTGCCGCCCGTCTCTGCTCGTGCCGCCCGTCACTGCTCGTGCCGCCCGGTCACTGCTCCTGCCGCCCGGTCACTGCTCCTGCCGCCCGTCACTGCTCCTGCCGCCCCGTTACTGTTCATGCCGCCCGATTACCATGCCATGCCATGTCCTCGTGCTCGTTTCCGCCCTTGCTCGTTTCTGCCCTTGCTCGTTTCTGCCGACAGTGACGGGCGCAGCTGGGCAACGGTGCGGCGAGGCTAAGGCGAAGCCAGTGAGGCACGAGGTGAGACAACGGTCCCCACTCTCCTGGCCCCCTTCTCCTATGCTCTCACTCTCCTGGCCCCCTTCTCCTATGCTCTCACTCTCCTGGCCCCCTTCTCCTATGCTCTCACTCTCCTGGCCCCCTTCTCCTATGCTCTCACTCTCCTGGCCCCCTTCTCCTATGCTCTCACTCTCCTGGCCCCCTTCTCCTATGCTCTCACTCTCCTGGCCCCCTTCTCCTATGCTCTCACTCTCCTGGCCCCTTTCTCCTATGCTCTCACTCTCCTGGCCCCCTTCTCCTATGCTCTTGCTCTGCACTCGTCGTTCCCTTGCTCTGCACTCGTCGTTCCCTTGCTCTGCACTCGTCGTTCCCTTGCTCTGCACTCGTTGTTCCCTTGCTCTGCACTCCTCCTCACCCCCCTGTTTTCCCATCCCCCACTGTTCATCCTATTGCTTCCCCATCCCGCACTGCTCACCCCACTGTTTCCCCATCCCGCACTGTTCACCCCACTGGTTCCCATCCTGCACTGTTCACTCTCCGCTCTGGTCTGGATGAGGCTCGGAGAGCCATGCTGTCACACCTGCCATCCTGCCACCCCTCCCCACCCCGCCTTGCGCAGGTGGCCTTCTCTCGCTGCAGGGCGCCGTGAAGAGACCTTCTCACCCCGCCAAGATAGAGGCACATCTACAAGTAGGATATTTACAAGGACATGCACCTTGCTCTTGTTTTGTACGGTACTTGTGTGTGCGTGTGTCGATATATAAGAGCTGCGGGGTGGGTTTGGGCAAGGCTAGGCACGGGGTGGGTTTGGCCTAGCCTTGGCGCCTGCAAGCCCGGTTACTGTTCATGCCGCCCGGCTGCTGTTTATGCCGCCCGGTTACTGTTCCTGTCGCCTGCTTACCGTTCCAGCCGCCCGGTTATCGCTCCAGCCGCCTGGTTACCACTTCACCAGCCTGGTAATCGCTCCAGCTGCCCGGTTAATGTTCCAGCCGCCCAGTTACTGCTATGGCCACCTGGTTACTGTTGCTGCCGCCCAGCTGCTGTTCGTGCCGTCTTGTTACTGTTCCAGCCACCTTCTGACAACATGAACAGGAACAGGAACATGAACAGGAACAGGAACCTGAACAGGAACAGGAACAAGACCAGGACCAGGAACCTGAACAGGAACAGGACCAGGACCAGGACCAGGAACAGGAACAAGACCAGGACCAAGACCAGAACCAGAACCAGGAACAAGACCAGGACCAGGACCAGAACCAGGACCATGCCATGCCATGCCTGGGATAGATGCCATGCCAGGGATTGGGGGTTGGGGGGGGCTGTGGGGGGCTGTGAGGGGATTTGGAGGGGATTTGGGGGGTAGGGGGGCCTTAGGGGGGCCTTAGGGGGGCCTTAGGGGGGCCTTAGGGGGGCCTTAGGGGGGCCTTAGGGGGGCCTTAGGGGGGCCTTAGGGGGGCCTTAGGGGGGCCTTAGGGGGGCCTTAGGGGGGCCTTAGGGGGGCCTTAGGGGGGCCTTAGGGGGGCCTTAGGGGGGCCTTAGGGGGGCCTTAGGGGGGCCTTAGGGGGGCCTTAGGGGGGCCTTAGGGGGGCCTTAGGGGGGCCTTAGGGGGGCCTTAGGGGGGCCTTAGGGGGGCCTTAGGGGGGCCTTAGGGGGGCCTTAGGGGGGCCTTAGGGGGGCCTTAGGGGGGCCTTGGGGGGGCATGGGGGGGTTTCATCTCCCCTCTCGCTATTGTCACTCTCTTTATTGTCCACGCTCTGCGTTATAGTACCCCTTGTTTGCTCTACGTATATCATACATGCAGTACAGTACTTGCAGGAAAACATGCAATCGGAGGCAGACAAACTGTTTGAACTCCGAGCGAGAGAGAAGAGGAGGCATATACACACAGATGATGAAAACATCCTGCAATCCCACCTTCCGAGCGGCAAGGATACACCGATACCTAGCAGCACGCTCTAGCACGGTGACATCCCCCAGTCCACCACAATAGAAGGGGTAGTAGACAGATGCTGGATGGGAGATGCAGTGGCATGGCGGATCAAGCTGCAGTGGCTGTGGCAAGTGCAGGAGCTGAGCAGAGTCCAAGCGTGGTAGACAGGTGCTCGACAGGAGACGACAAGGCAGATCAAGCTGCAGTGGCTGTGGCAAGTGCAGGAGCTGAGCAGAGTCCAAGCGTGGTAGACAGGTGCTCGACAGGAGACGACAAGGCAGATCAAGCTGCAGTGGCTGTGGCAAGTGCAGGAGCTGAGAAGAGTCCAAGCGTGGTAGACAGGTGCTCGACAGGAGACGACAAGGCAGATCAAGCTGCAGTGGCTGTGGCAAGAGCAGGAGCTGCATCCGATTCCTCATCACTTCCACCTCCCCCAGATGAGCCTCCCTTGCTTCCTCCCCCTTGGCCCTCCTCTCCCTTCCCTCCCGCCTTCTCTCCTCCCCCCTCGTTATCCTGCAACCACCGCTCCCACGAGCCCTCCCCTTGCAGTATGTGGGCCCCACACCCCGGTACCCCGTCCTCGCCCTCCTCCCCCTCGTGCCCCACCGATGCCTCGTCCAGCACCACTGCTTCCACCAGAGAGCTGGGGACCTGGTGGGGATGGCAGGGATGGCAGGGACGGGAAGATCAGGCTTGGAAGAGCAGGGATAGGAGGGATGGATGGATGATGGCAGAGTGCAGGTTACCCCGTCGCCCCCCTCCTCCCCCTCGTGCCCCACCGATGCCTTGTCCAACACAACTGCCTTCACTAGACTGCTGGGGACCTGGTGGGTTGGGGCATGAGATGACGGATGGGCGTGGAATGAGGGCAATGATCAAGGACACAGTTGCACACCGGCTTGCCCTCTTCCCCTTCCTCCCCCTCGTGCCCCACCGATGCCTCGTCCAGCACCACTGCTTCCACCAGATTGCTGGGGACCTGGGGAGTTGGGGTGGGAAGGACGGAATGGAGGGATGGATGGAGGAAAGCAGCGAGCAGGTTAACCCCACCTCCCCTCCGAGCCCCCACTGATACCTCATCCAACAACATTGCCTTCACAACAATACCAAGGTCCACTGGCGATCACAGTACCTCATACACAGCCTTGGTAACTGCCGTACGTACCTCAAGCAGTGCCTCGGTAACTGCTGTACGTACCTCATACACAGCCTTAGTAACCGCCGTACCTTTTGTTAGCCTGTTACACCGTACCCCGTACATAGGCCTGGTGAGTACCGTATCTATTACATTGTACCTCATACAGAGGCTCAGTAACCGCCATACCTCATACATAGCCTCGGTAATCATCATACCTCATACACAGCCTCGGCAGCCACCATACCTCGTACATAGCCTCGGCAGTCGCCATACCTCGTACATAGCCTCGGCAGTCGCCATACCTCGTACATAGCCTCGGTGAGCAGCCCCTCCAGCAGCGATCGCAGCCCCCTGGCCCCCGTGTTTCGCGCTGCTGCTCTGCGCGCTATGGCCCTCACTGCCCCCTCCGTCATGTGCAAGCGGGCCTGAGTGGGTGGAGTGGAAGGGAGGGCAGGAAGAGATGAGATGGAGATGGCACGAGGTCATGGAAAAGGGCAAGAATGGGTGCTGTACTCCACGCAATGGCCCTCACTGCCTCCTCTGTCATGTGCAGACGGGCCTCAGTAAGAGGGGAGGGGAGGATTGGGAGAGCATGAGGACAAGGAAGAAGGCAACACTGAGTGCTATTCTGCATCCTGTAGCTTTGCAAATTGCACTTGCTTGCTAACCGAGAACTGTCTGGATTTCTTATTTATACAATAGAAAACACAATGCTCGTGACCCACAACCAGCAGCCCACACTGCACTCACGTTGTTCATGGCCAATAGCTTGGCGAATTGCTTGCTGAGGGCGTTCTTGGGCTTTAAGAGAACCTGCAAGTGAGAGCCACACCGAGAGGAGAGAACGAGTACGGAGAAGGAGCAGGAGGGTGGGGAGAGGGATAAGAATCGGGTAGTGTTTCAGGGGTTACAACCCGCGGGCCAAGAACTTCAACCTTAGGAAGCTTGGTTGGAGCGAGCAACACAATTGGCCAAGATTTTGGGTGCGAGGGCCAAACTCAACCAAGGTTAGGAAGGTTGAGGCAATTTGGGCCTTCTTGGCCCTCCGGTTTTAAGAACGTAAATTTTCTGGGCAGGGATTAGGAAAAGAAGATGGACCAAAATACGTGTCGAATCATGCAAGGAAAGCCACTCAGCTCTGTATATAGACATAATTCGAAGTGCATAAGAAAGGTCCTTTGCTTCCACCTGCATCAGTTGCCACCTGCACCAGTTGCCACCTGCACTACACCTACCTGCACATGTTGCTCTTTTGTGAAAGCACGCAGCCCCATGAGCACCAGCTGTTGTTACCAAAGCCTACACACACCAGTCATTACCCGCACCAGTCATTACCCGCACCAGTCATTACCCGCACCAGTCATTACCTGCACCAGTCATTACCAGCACCAGTCATTACCTGCACCAGTCATTACCTGCACCAGTCACTACCTGCACCAGTCATTACCAGCACCAGTCACTACCTGCACCAGTCATTACCTGCACCAGTCATTACCTGCACCAGTCATTACCTGCACCAGTCATTACCTGCACCAGTCATTACCTGCATCAGTCACTACCTGCATCAGTCATTACCTGCACCAGTCATTACCTGCACCAGTCATTACCTGCACCAGTCATTACCTGCATCAGTCATTACCTGCATCAGTCATTACCTGCACCAGTCATTACCTGCACCAGTCATTACCTGCACGAGTTGCTCCTCTGTGAGCGCATGCAGCCCCACCAGCACGGGGAATCGCCCCACAAACTCAGGGATGAGCCCATAGGCTATCAGATCCGTGCTCTCTGCCTGCCGTTCCAGAGGGGTAGGGAGGGGTGGGGACGGGTGGGGAGGGATGTTGAACGATGGGGAGGGAGGATCTGGAGGGGTATAACAATAACACAAGGAATCGCCCCACAAACTCGGGGACGAGCCTGTAGGCTACCCGATCTGTGCTCTCTGAGTGCAGTTGATGAGCAAAAAAAGACGGGGGGGGGGGGGGGGGGGGGGGAGATACGGGAATTGCGGGTAGAGAGACAACTTTTGAGGCGCCTCAAAAGTGCTCTCTGCGAGCCGTTGATACAAAAAAAGGGGGGAAGGGGGTTTGCGGGGTGGCGGGGAAAGGATGGTTGAAGGAAGAGCACGCATCAACTGCAGCAGGTGGCTTATAGGACAGTGAAAAGCAGCTCTCAAAAGCAGCACGCCCACAAGCACACACAGCAAGTGTTGCAAGCATGGATCGCTGGCACACGCGCTAAAACAATGACAAAACAAAACAAAACAAAACAAAACCCAACCAAACAATCAAACCAACAAACAAATCAACCAAAAAAACAAACAAACAAACCAACGGTATAGAGTTAGCACTCACCGATTGCAGCAGCGAGCCGGCAGTGCGGGCGTCAAGCACCGATCGGTTGCGCAGCGATGCGCGCACGGGGGCCCCGAAGCCGATGGATGACTTGTGCTTCCTGCACGCAGCAAGGTAATATTGGGATTTGAGTCATGGAATGCAGTCAGTCTCATGTCTGCTTGCAATGATTGCAGCAATGTCACACGGGGGCCCCGAAGCCGATTGATGACTTGCGCTTCCTGCAACAAATGAATGGTAATAGAGAGAGTCAAGACATGCAGTCAAGACAACATTGTATGTGCTTGCAGTGCTTGCAGAGTTGCGCGCTTAGGAGCTCTGAGGGCTAGCATAGCACGGCCAACGAAAGGCAGGAGATACATTCCTAACATTGACTGCAGACAATCAGACCGATTCAAACCGCAGTCAATGTTAGAGTCAAACTGCAGACAATTATTGAAAGTCGTTTCTAACATGTGGGTGACGAAAATCCACGCGAAAGCATCAACGTCAAAGCCTATTACCATTTTGCCGACAACGGTTACGTTACACCTGCACAAGTCAACACCAACGAAGCAGAACACGTAGGACCAAACTTCAATCCTACGCCAGAAGAGGGAGACGAAGCAGCTTATCCCGCGGACACATCACTTCCCCGCTACACACAGAGTGGACTCCAGATACTCGGTCTCATCACCGCAGTCCATGGGATAGCCATTCCTAAAGAGCCTACGATAGTTCAGCGGGCTCTGGGGGGGGAGCATAAGGAAAAATGGCGCGAAGCCATGGACAAGGAGCTGAAAGCACTGGAGGAACGCAACACCTGGAAGGTTGTTCCTATCGGCGTAGCACGGAACAAAACGATTCTCACTGGAAAGTGGGTCTTCCGCGTGAAGACGAAGGCTGACGGCACCATCGACAAGTTCAAAGCACGCTGGGTCGTACGTGGCTTCGACCAGGAACATGGACGTGACTTCACCGAGACATTCGCTCCAGTCAGCCGACACACCTCGCTGCGAATTCTCCTCGCGATCGCCGCCATGAAGAGAAGGAAGCTTCGGCAAATTGACGTCGCCAACGCATTTCTCTACGCACCTGTCGACGCAGAAATCTTCGTCGAGCTACCGCACGGCTCCAACGGAGAACCTAACCAAGTCTGTCAGCTGCTGAAGTCGCTCTATGGCATCAAACAAGCCCCGAGGCTGTGGCAGCAGTACCTGCACGCAAGACTCATTCGGATCGGATTCCGCCAACTACCTCACGACCAAGGCATGTACCGGCTCACAAAGGGCACCGACTACATCTTGCTAATCGTCTACGTAGACGATTTGCTCTACATCGGCTCAACCGACAGCGTCACTACCTGGTTCGAAGGGGAGCTAAAGCAAGACCTTACACTCACAGTCTCATCTACCGTCACGCAATATCTCGGGCTCAACATACGGGAAGAGGAGGACGCGATCTATCTCAGCGCCGCGAAATATGCCGATACCATCGCCAAGCGCTTCGCACTCACACCGACCGTCATCTCCACGCCATACCGCTACACGGCAGGAAACCACAAGGAAGGCTCCGCTCTACTCAAGCCCGCCGGCATACGGGACTACCAGAGGAAGCTGGGATGCCTCCTCTTCGCAGCTGTCACCTGCCGCCCGGACCTATCGTACTCTGCAAGCCAGCTCGCCACCTACCTCAAGAAACCTGAAGCGGAACATCTGGCGGAACTCGACCGCGCTCTTCACTACCTCGTCAGCACCCCGACAATCGGCCTGACCTACCATAAGAACACAACTATAACGCCTAAGCTAATCGGATACGTCGACGCCGATCACGCCGGCGACTCCAACAACAAGCGTTCCCGCACCGGCTACATCTACCGCTTCGAGCCTATCGGTCCTATCTCCTGGTAGTCGAGCAAACAGGGGTTAATCGCCCTCTCTTCAGCTGAAGCAGAATATATCGCACTCTGCTCAGCCACCAAGGAAGGACTGTACCTTCGCGAACTCCTGGAGGAAGCCAAGCTAGCCCAGTTACCAAACTTTACCCTGTTCTACGACAACCAGTCGGCCATTCGCATAGCCAACAAGAACGGCTTCGCGAACAGGACGAAACACATCGCCCTGCGATACTTCTTCGTGAAAGACAAGATCGAGAAGGGAAAACTCGAGCTGTCATACTGCCCCACATCCGAGATGGCAGCTGACTACTTGACCAAGAAGCTTGGAAAGCAGAAGTTCGAGTACTGCATGCTGCTGACTGGACAGAGCCACGTCACCAGCAGCGACACTCCAGAAGCGAAGGGGAGTGTTGGAAACAACTAACTTAAGCGCCTCTGTCGTGTCGAAACACCAAGACACAAGCGAAGCAAAACACTATCGAAGCACCAGCGAGTCAACCCTCGGAGGTTGAAGCAACTGTCGGAGGTTACGCAAAAGTCAAAGGTCAGCGACCTTTGACCTGACAAGTACAGCGCGTCAGCAAGGACACACAACTGACTCGTTACAGAGCAGTTGCCCGAGTCGTCACTATATCGAACCGCAACAGCAACAGTAAAGTAGTTACAACTGTGTCTTTTCATATTCCCTGTATTCATATATAATCTTGTATCTCTTTACTTTAATTAATCAACTTTGCCCTCACATACTAGCGCAAGGTGGTTCACAACTCTTCATTAAACGCTTCCGCTACTACATCAGTTCTACCCAGAGTTCACCCCTGCAAAGATCCTAAGGGCTATTTTCTCAGCCCAACAACACAACATTCACCGTAACATTTGCCAGCGGGCTAAAGCCATGCTACACCTCTCTGCTGATTAGGATCTATAAATGCCGATACTGATGCTACCGTTATAGCTAGGATCCCAGCATCAAAGCCAACCCTGCTCCACTGGTACCCTCCATGCAATATCCCTTCCTCCCAAACAGCACCTCCCGCCCACATTACCAGCTCTTTCCCCAAGAACCCTTTACTTCAATCACATTCATTCTATCCACAAGCGATTGTGGCAGCTCCTTCAGATGCACGCACCCGTCCAGATCCACCTCCCTCAGACAGGACAAACTGGCCAAGTCGCAGGGCAGGGCCCTCAGGCGCTTGCATCCTTGCAGGGAGAGCTTTCTAAGGCATGGGAGGGAGAGAGAGGAGGGGAGGCGGCAGAGGAATGCAAGCCGTTTCAGTGTGAGAGAGGCAAGGCTGGAGAGAGAGGAGATGGAATTCAGGAGGCGGGTGAAATTAGGACACTCGACGATGGTGAGACGCACGAGGGAGGAGAGGAGGGTGACGGAGGGCGGCAGGGCTTTAAGCGCTTGGCACGACTCCAGACTCAGATCGCGCAGAGCTTTAAGCTGCCCGATATCCTCGGGCAGGTGGGTCAGCAAAGGGAGTGAATTGAGTGTCAGTTGTTGGAGATTGGTGAGGCTAGTGAGGGACGTGGGAAGGGAGGCCATGGCAGGATACTCCTCGAGCAGCAGCACTCTCAGCTGCACCAGATCGCCCAATGTTTCGGGGAGTGCTGAAAGGATGGAGAGGGCGATGTGAAGATGCTGCAGAGAAGATAGGAGATCCAATCTGACCGCCATATCAGAATCGGAATAGAATCTTTCAGATTGGTCATCGTGAGTGGTTTGAGCGTGGACTGAGGACTGGGTAACAAGCGGAGGGGAAATAAGCTGTTGGAGAGACGGAATGTCGTAGATGTTCAAGTGGGTGAGTTGGGTGAGGGAAAACAAGGATTTTGGAAGGTACTGGGCTGACTGGAAGACATTAGAGAGGATGATGGTTTTCATGGAAGTCGGAAGGGAGATGGGCGCAACCAGAGGACGGAAGGAGGAGGAGGTCGATGGGGGCGGGGATGTGGGTGGTGGCAAGGGGCTCTGGTGCGTGAGCTGGTGTGTGAGCTCTAGACTGGGGCAGTCTTCAAGAGCGAGGAGTTCCAGCCTAGGCAGCAGATGCAGGCCCTCTGGAAGACTCTCCAGGCGCGGGCAGTCAGATATCTCCAGCTGCTCCAGCGATGGAAATGGGGGAGCACCGGCAGCAGCGGCAGCAGCAGCAGCATCAGCGGCAGCAGCAGCAGCATCAGCGGCAGCAGCAGCAGCAGCGGCAGCAGCAGCAGCATCAGTGGCAGCAGCAGCAGCAGCATCAGCGGCAGCAGCAGTAGCAGTAGCAGTAGCAGCAGCAGCAGCAGCAGGGAGGTCTGTCTTGAGAGTAGAAGAATCTCCGGCAGGGTTGTGAATGGGCGAGGAGAGCAGCGACGGGAAGAGCCGCAGCTGAGGGGAATTCTTAACATGGAGCACTCTTAGGCTGGCCAGCCCCCCCATGCCTGGCGGCAAGTCCTCCAGCAGCTCACACCCCTCCAAAACGAGCTCTACCAGGCCTGTGAGGCGAACCAGGGACTGGGGAAGCATGTGGAGGGCGCAGGCGCCTTCCAGCTCAGGCCCGTAATCTGATTCGCTCCTGGTCTCCAGCCTATTTGGGCTGTATGTTGCCTTTGTCCCGATCCTGAGCACTTCCAGGCTGGGAAGGTCCCCAAACCTGTCTGGCAGGCTCGTGAAGACGCAGTTGAAGAGGTAGAGAGTACGTAGCTTTGGGAGGGTTTCAAAGCCTGGAGGGAGGTCTACTAGGGAAGCCCCGCCGTGGATGAAAAATGTTTCCAAGGAGTCGAGATTGGTGAAGGAATTTGGAAGCTCAATCAGGCTGTTGCATTCCATGAATATTAATTTCTTCAGCTTCCCCAGCTGCCCGATCGAGTCGGGCACAGTAACGAGCTTGTTACTGGACAGCTTCAGCAAAACCAGGTTCGAGAGCTGCTCGATGTCTCCGGGCAGCTCCTGAAGGTCGCAGGCACCAAGAACGAGGCTTGTGAGTGACTCCATAGCGGAGACGGACTGTGGGAAGGTAGAAAGCTCGCAGCAGCCAATCACATTCAGCTCCTTAAGTTGAGATAGCTGGCCGATAGAGTCCGGAATAACCCTAAAATCCTCCAAATTTTCTAATTTCAGGCACTCTAGAGTGTAGATTCGGCCAAAATCTTCTGGCAGGGCCGTCGTGCTTCCACAGTTGCTGATCATTTAGCTACGGAGGGTTTGACTGGAGGAAAGGGAGGCTGGGAGCTGCGAGAAATTGAAGTTTTGAAGACGAAACTCCTGCAGGGCGGGCAGATGCCCGAACGAGTCAGGAAACGAAGTGAAGTCGGATAGACTCGAAATTTCTACCGCTTCCAAACTTGACAGCTGAAGAAAGTTCACGGGCAGCTTAATATAGTCATAGCAGTAAAGAAGCGAAAACCGCGTGAGGGCCGGTAGCTCGCAGAAGGATTCGGGCAACTCACGCAGACCGTCTACAAACGCGAGCGTGAGGCTCTTTAGGTTTCGCAGCTGCCCGAAATTCTCGGGTAGGTGAGAGACGTGGGATCTGTGAAGCTCCAAATGCTCCAGAGCCGTTAGATCGCAGATGGAGTCGGGCAGAGCTTCAAGGAAATCTAGTCTAAACTCCAACCGCTTCAATCGCGACAAGCAGCCGAATTCCGTTGGTAGCCCGGTTACGCTGTATGTTGATCGCATGCTGAGCCGCGTCAGCTGCTGCAAGCGGCTGATGGAAGGAGGCAGCGTGGGAACGCCGTCTGCCAGCCGTAGATCCAGATTGACCAATCGCGAGAAGGAATCGAAGATCTCGGATACATCGGAGGGCGATAACGCCGCAGGGCCGCGCCGCGCTATGCCTCTGATCTCGCCTTCCTGCACGCGTGTCGCCAGCCGACGATCGTACAGATGCATCGTAAGATGCGTCACGGAGGACTCGCATCCGTCGCAGACGGATCGCACGAGGTGGCGATCTACAACGTCCGTCGCGAATTTGCCGAGGTGCAGATGGAGAAGGTTCGGGAATCCCGAGGTGGGTGAAGTGAGGAGCGAGCCGAGAGTTTGGGAAGAGAAGAAGCGATCGCAAGGCACAACGATGGCGGGATGCACGGATCTGGCGACGCGCAGCCATCGCTTGCAGACCAGCGCGTGGCGAAAGGAGACGAGCGAAGAAGCGGTAACCACACGTGATTCTCGCGTGGTGTCAACCCACGCACTCTCCGACGGCAGAGATTCGTCCAATGCTTTGCTGATCGCGTCTCGCAGAATGTCCTCGTTACTAAAATCAGAATAGTGGCCGTCAAATCTAATGGTTGTCGCGGACGCGGCGAGAAGAAGGATCGAGCAAAGCAGATCATCAGACAACTGGGAGAATTGATCACCACTCGTCATATCTCCTACTCTGCCTGTGAACCTGGCAGTATGGAACGAGGTGACGCGTCGAATCGAGCCGTGAAGGTGCAACCTACGATTGAAATTCTCGAGAAATGAAGGACGAGTGATGGTTGTGAAAATTGTCGCAACAGGATTGGTATTCAGGCGAATTGGGCGGTTTCAAGCGGTGAAGAGAGGGCATTCCTCAAGAGAGGGTATTCGTCTTAGAAAGAAAATCAACGTTTTTAGGCTGACTTATGGAGACCTGAACGGAAGCAATACAAAATGTAGTGTCACAATCGCTTGAGATGCCACATGCTACCATATTTCCACCAGAGTAACTTAGTTGTGAAAGTGAAATGTCACACTTCACATTCTGAAAATGAATGAATTTGCCAGCAGGCTATTGCTGTGGTACACCGTACACCTCTCTCTCTACTAATAAATAAGAACCTTTAAATGTCAACACTGATGCTACGGTAATAGGATCCCTCCCGTCTTCGAAGCCAATCTTGCTCCACGAGTACCCTCCATGCTTTATCCCTCTCTCCCAAACAGCACCTCCCACATTACCACCTCTTTCCCCAAGAACCCTTCACTGTAATCACATTCATCCTATCCACCAGCGAGTGTGGCAGCTCCTTCAGACGCGTACACCCGTCCAGATCCACCTCCCTCAGACAGGACAAACTGCCCAAGTCGCTGGGTAGGGCCCTCATAGCCTGAGTTTGAGAGAGGAAAGGCGGGAGAAGGACGATAGAGATTCTGGAAGACAAGTAATTTTCAGACAGTTGATGATGCTGAGTTGTATGAGGGAGGAGAGCAGAGTGCAGGAAGAAGGAAGGTCCTGCAGGGTTTTACATGGATCCAAACCCAACTCATTGAGTGCCTTCAGCTGCCCGAGATTCTCGGGCAGGTGAGTCAGCAGAGGAAGGGACTTGAGATCAATCTGCTGCAGTTTGGGAAGGGTAACGATGGAGGAGGGGAGGGATGTCATGGCATGGCACTTCTCTAGCAGCAGTACCACCAGCTCCCTCAGATCGCCTAGGTTTTCCGGAAGCGCGGGGAGGTTGGTGTTGACAATGTGAAGGTGCACCAGCGACGACAGGCGCCCCAACCCAGCCTGCTCAATCGATCCAGGCATTCGCGAAAGCTCAATCAGAGGAGCATGAGGTGTGCCCTCCTCTTCAGCTTCGGCTTTAGCTGGGGTTTAGGGTGCGTGAGAAATCGGAGGTCATATAGGTTCAAGTGACGAAGGTGGTCAAGGGAAAGGATGGATTCCGGGAGGTAGTGAGCTGACTTGAAGACATTTGAGATGATAATAGTTGAAACAGATGGCGGAAGGGAGATAGGCGCTGCTAATGGGGGGCTCGAATGGGAGGAGGGGAATGAAGAAACTGAGTTGGTGCTTGAGTTGTCGAGTTTTAGGCTAGTGCATTTTTCGAGCGTGAAATGCTTCAGCCTAGGCAGCAGATGGAGGCCTTCTGGAAGGTTTGTTAGCTTTGGGCAGGATGAAATTAGTAGTTCTTGAAGTAGTGGGAGTGGAGTGATGGTGGTGGAAAAGGAGGAGGTGTCAGTAAATGAGGTGGCAGCAGCTGAAGTGGCAGCAAATGAGGTGGGAGCAGCTGAAGTGGCAGCAGCTGAGGTGGGAGCAGCTGGGGTGGCAGAAAATGAGGCAGCAGCAGCAGCAAAGGTGGCAGCAGGAGCAGAAGATCCGTCAACTGGGGCACTGGCCTCAGCAGAGGGCAGGAAGGACGGAAAGACCTTTAACTGCTTGCACTTCTCCACTTTCAGGACCTTGAGGCTGCACAGACTGCCCATGCCGCTTGGAAGCTCCTTCAGCACCCGACACCCATCTATAATCATTTGCTCCAGGCGCGTGAGCAGGCTGAAGGAGGGGGGAAAGCTACGCAGGGAGCAGAATCCGTCCAACTAAATCTCCTGGCCTTCATTGGTGTATGTGTCAGTACTTTGCACTTTGAGAATCTCCAGGTTCGGCAGCTCACCGAACCTATCGGGCAGGTACGGCATGCCGCAGTTTAGCAGCTCTAGTGTGCGGAGCTTCGGCAGATTCTCGAAACCCAGAGGCAAGTCAATGAGCGAGGATCCACCATAGATGAGTAGGGTTTCTAATGAAGAGAGGTTGGTGAACGAGGCAGGGAGCTCGAATAGGTTGTAGCATTCGTAAATGGTCAGCTCTTTCAGCTGCCCTAGCTGCCCGAACGAGTCAGGCAGGTGAGAAAGGCTTGTAGAAAACAGCTTCACAGTGACCAAGTTTTGCAGCTGCCCAATGTCTCCGGGCAGGCCTGAAAAAGAGCAGCCGTCAAGAATGAGGCTTGTGAGCGCTCCCATGGCGGATACAGACTCTGGGAGGTTCACGAGATTGGCGCACTCAACCACTTTCAACTCCTTCAGTGCCATAAGGAACCCCAGGGAATGCGGAAGAGCCGTAAGTCGATCAAGAAACTTCAGGCGAAACTGCTGGAGAGCGGAAAACTGGCCGATAGATTCCGGCAGCGAGGATAGGCGTTTGCAGTCGTGGATGGTGAGACTCCGGAGGGCTGGAGATCCCAAGGGTTGGCCAGCGGGCAGCCTGCCGAACGAATCGGGAAACGAAGTGAGAGCAGGCAGATCGTCTAGATGCAGCGTATCTAGGTCGGGCAGCTGGAATAGATTCTCGGGTAGCATGGCGAATCGGCGACAATGGTCGATAGAAAGGTGGGAGAGCGCGGGCAGTTGACAGATGGATTCCGGAAGAGCAATGAGGCGACGCAGATACGAGAGGCTTAGGATCTTGATGTTACGAAGCTGGCCTAAATCGCTCGGGAGTTGGCCTATTAAGCAGTTGCGAAGAGAGAGATGCTCCAGGGAGGTGAGACAGTCGAACGAAATAGGCAGCTCGCGAAGAGACGGCGACACGATTAGTAACTGCTTCAGTCCCAACAAGCCGCAAAGCTCCTCTGGTAACCCGGTAACGTTACTGAAGCTCATGCTGAGGCGCGTAAGCTGCTGTAAGCGGCTGATGGAAGCTGGAATTTCAGAAACACCTTTTCCGAATCTTAAATCCAGATTGACCAGTCGCGTGCAGGAATTGAAAATCTCGGCGACATCTGAGCCCGAGATCGGTGCAAGGCTGGTCGACTGACCCCTGCTCGGTATTGACTGCTAGCTTGATATACTAGTTGTCACTCGTCGGCGATCGTACAGGTGCAGTGTGAAATGGGTCAGCGACGAGCCGCATTCGTCGCAGATGGATCGCACGAGGTGGCGATCTACGACGACGCGCAGGTGGCGAAGGTTCGGGAATCCCTAGGTGGGTGAGGTGAGGAGCGAGGCGAGAGTTCGTGCGGAGAAAAAGCGGTTTCGAGGCACGACGATGGCGGCATGCACGGATCTGGAAACGCGCAGCCATCGCTTGCACACGAGAGCGTGGCGGAAGGCAGTGAGCGATGAGCCTGTGGCGACAGGAGCTTCCGGTAACCCGAACAATACGCTCTCGCTCGGCAGGTGCTCATTCAACGCTTGCTCGATCCTCTTTTGCAGAATGGGCTCGTTATTGGGACAGTCGTGGGTATCGAACTTGGTGCCCTTAGATGCGACAAGGAGAAGAATCGTTTCTTCAAATCGTCAGAAATACTTGA